ACCAGAGGCAACGCCACATCAGCATGCAATGTAGACCAGAGGCAGCACCACATAGACCAGAGGCAGCGCCACATCAGCATGCAATGTAGACCAGATGCAGCGCCACATAGACCAGAGGCAGGGCCACATCAGCATGCAATGTAGACCAGAGGCAGTGCCACATCAGCATGCAATGTAGAACAGAGGCAGCGCCACATAGACCAGAGGCAGCGCCACATCAGCATGCCTGGCGCACAATGCACAGTGTGCCAGCATCTCGCCACAACCCCTGTTGTCATCCGCAATGCTAGCATACAGCGTAGTCGAAGTCAAGCCAGCACTTTGCCAGTGTAGTCGAAGTCAAGCCAGCGCTCAAGCAGCATAGCCAGACTGAATGTTCACCACCTCGAGGCCAGTCTTTAAGTAGCGTTTGATGAGACTCTTTGGCCTCGGGTCGCCTCCCCTCAGTCGTCCAGATTGATTCACATCCGAAGGCCTGGATTGTACAGTTGCAGATTTCCCCCCCTTGGACCTGATGCTGTCTGGGTACCTGCATACAAACAAATGTGTGTGTCCGACCGGCGGCCTGGGCTGGGTACATTTTGACTTTGACTGTTGGGGTTTCCGACAGTTGACTTTTGTCACCTGTACCTCGTTTCAGCCTGGGCCCTGAATCTTTTGTTGGGGTCCGACCGGCAGGCCCTGAATCTTTTGTTGGGGTGTTTTCCCCCGTTTCAGCCTGGGCCTGGATGTGGCCTGGCGAGGCCCTCATTTTTCCACGAGGCTTACTACATGGGTTATTGCACTTCTCTCTCTCTCTCTCTCTCTCTCTCTCTCTCTCTCTCTCTCTCTCTCTCTCTCTCTTTCGTCTCCTTCTCCTTCTTCTTTGTTTGTTTTGTTGCCGTTCTTGTTGATGTTGATGTTGTCGTTGTTTCTAATATATCTTCCTCTTATTCCATTGCCTTGTTTTTGTGTTTGTTAAATATTCTTTGTTCGAGTCCTCACCCATCCAGATCCCCTCCTCCCTCCCACCCCTTCCTCTCCTCTTAGCACAAGAGCTTTTTTTTTTTTTTTGAGCTTGCAAGGTGCACATGTGGAGTTTTGGTGATTGAAATTGGATCTAAGTTGAACGGCTACCTTTCTTTCTGCCTCGCCATAATGATCTAACGGCTACCTTTCATCCTGCCTCATCATGGATGATGATGATGATGAGATGATGATGATGATGATGATGATGCTCTGTTTCAGATATGTTGATCCACAAGTGTTTCAACGACCGACCTACAAAACGTTCATGGCGCTGCTAGACAATTACAATCCAGACGTGTTGTCCCCGGAGAGCGTAACAGCAGCAGAGATCAGAGAAAATGCGTTTTTCCTCACTGCGGCATTGGAGAGCCCATGTTTAAAATATGTACACAGGTCAGTTCTCTCCCTCTCATAGCCCATGCATGCATGCCTCCCCACAATTCTCTCTCTCTCTCTCTCTCTCTCTCTCTCTCTCTCTCTCTCTCTCTCTCTCTCTCTCGCACAGACAAACATTCTGTCGTTGATACACAAGCACCCCATTGCTGACTGCCAGGCATGCCAACTCTCTCTCTCTCTCTCTCTCTCTCTCTCTCTCTCTCTCTCTCTCTCTCTCTCTCTCACATTCTGTCGCTCATACACAAACACACCATTGCAGACTGCCAGGCATGCCCTCTCTCTCTCTCTCTCTCTCTCTCTCTCTCTCTCT